CCTCGCTCCGCTCCGAGGCATCCACAGGACAGCAAAGCCTCTGCAGAGCCGCCCGTGCCCCGGCACAGCAGGCAGAGCCGCCCGAGAGGGGCTTTAACTGCCCACCCTTGCAGGCAGCGCCCAGGATCGGCGAGGATTGTTTACTGCCCCGTGTCCATAACCTTGTCCCTTTCAGATGCTAATCAGCCTCTGTGTCCCTGGTTTAAGCGCCGTGTCAATGTGTAACGAAATGAATCCCCAGCGCTGTGCAGCGCTCGGTGTGGACCCGGTGCCGGGGAAGGCAGTGCTCACCGTGGCCCTGGCGATTGGACAGCCCAATGACCTGATTCGGTTGTTATGCTGTATAATCTGGAGCAGACTGCTTTTTTTTTTCCTTTCCTCCCCCCTCTCTGCTGCCCTCTCCATTTGTAAGATACAGGTGCTAACACTTAGGGCTGGTTGGAAATGCAGAAAAGCAGCAGATTTTTTGGTTTTTGAGGTGGCTTTTGCTTACTCTATTAGACTAGATGTTAGACTGGTCTTGCTCTGTAAACGGCCTCTAAAGATGATGGTTGGAAATAGAGCAGATTTTTATTAGCTGATTTGCAAAACAGAAATTACGAGGGGGGATGACAACACTGAAGCTTGCCCTAGGCAAAAGGGGGAAGAGGATGTTGGGGCCAGGCTAATTGGGGCCATACCTCTTCAGACTGGAATTAGTCTGAGCTGAATATTACCCATCCAAACAGGTTTTAGAGCAGGAGGAGAAGCCCAAGACTGGCTGGAACTCATTTACTCATTTCCCTCCCAAAGGCTGACCCATAGACCTGTATCAAGGAATTGCACACGAGGAGGAGATAGAAACTGGAAGCTCTCAGAATGCGCTGCCCACAGACTTAAGGCTCCTCCAGGGACTCGAGGTGATTTCTCACAACAGATGCTTTCAGGAGAGGTTGTGCTGAAGACAGAGCACTGCAGCCTCTTAACTGGGACAGCTCCTGCTGGTCTGGAGCTGAGACCAACTCCCCTCCCTCCGTTTTCCCTTGGAGATGTTGCAGAGATTTAATGTGACCTCCTTCTGCTCACCTGAAGCCTGCCGTGGCGATGGTCCTGCAGCCAGACCCGACCACCAAAGAGAAGAGAATCCTGCCTTTGAAGCTGGGCCGTCGTTGTAACTGAACTGGAACTTACTCCCTTCTTGTGCTCCTGGAACGAGTGCCGTTCCCCTGCTTGTCTCTGTGTGTTTTGAGCCCTTTCTCCCTGCTCTTGTTTGGAATTCCTGGGCTTTCCACGCTGAATTTGCCCATGGCTTTCCTGATGAAGAAGAAGAAATTCAAGTTTCAGACGAGTTTCACTCTAGAAGAGCTGACTGCTGTCCCCTTTGTGAATGGGGTTCTGTTCTGCAAAATCAGGCTGCTAGATGGAGGAGACTTTGCCAGCTTATCTACGAGGTAAGACCCTGCTTGCAGACTTGCTGCCTGGCTCTGCTGCTTTCCCTGGTTATTCTTCCCTTGAGCAGTTTAGCATATGGCCACCACTTGCTTACCCCTTGATGGGATTTTAATAGTTCTGTTGTAGGGCCCCACATGCCACATCATTCTCTGGAGCGGGGGAAGTACATAGCTGGAGAGCTCTGAACCTGGGTGGTGTTGGCTTATCCGAGCTGGATTGAATTTTTCAGAGATGAGGGGAGGGAGCAGGAGGTCACTCCCCTGAAAGGGGCTGAAGAGTGCAGATTAAATCCTCTCTTATTTTTCTCCCTTCCTTGCCCGAGTTCTCACACAGTTTCAGACTCTGTGCTGTGCTGCCTTCATGCCTTACTTGAAACTCAGCTCTGTAGAAAACTATAAGCAAATCAACCCTTCTCATCTTTGCTCTCCCCTTTGATTCTGATTTTCTGTTCTTGGTAAGGGTGGAAGTATCTTGCTTTGCATTGCAAATTTCTGTGCAAGGGAAAACTGCTGCCTGGAGTCAAAGTTGTCAGTGTTAAAGACCCAGTTTATCTCCTTGAACTGATGTCACTGCATCTCCCAGTTTAGAGCAGCAGTTTCCCATGTGATCTGTTACGTTGGGATGGTCCTGCTGCACCTTTTGTAAGGTTGTTCTGCCATCGTGTACTGGCATTTCTCTGACTCCTTGAGGCAAGTCTGTCCCCACTCTTGCTACTAATTGCTAATAAAAACTCGCTTTGTTTCCAGCCATGCACACAGATTATCAACAGCAGTATGCAAACACGAATTCCATAACAGCCCAGACTTGCTTGCTTTCTGCCTCAAGATGTGAAGGAAGCTTTCAGTGGCTTTCAAAACTTGTTTTTTTGCTTTCCTGAGTGACTGCTCAGTTTTAAAGGTACAGGATTAGTTTGTGCTAGCTGTTAACTGCTTTATCCCAGGGCTAAAGCCTGGTTTGGTCTGGTTTTCCTCTTTGTGGTGCTGCATGCTGAGCTTTCTCATTTCAGGAGGGAAGATTTTTATTGGGCAAGCATAAAACATTTCTTGCAAATAGAAGTGGTAGGGCATTGCTCAAAGCTTGTTTTTTTTGTCCAGAGGCACGATGCAACCTCGTCTGAAGTCTGTAGAAGCTGTGGGCGTGGAACACCTCCAAAAATGGACTTTGAATTAATTTCTCTTTTGAAGAAAATCTATCAAAAGAGCTTTTCCTCACAGTGTTCTCCCCTGAGGCTAGATCCTTGGGTTTGGTGGAAGCAGCTTATCTAAGGAATTCAAACAGTATGTGAACTTGGAAAGAAATTAACCCCTCTGCTTCCTGGAGTCATAATGAGTTGCACTGGAGGGTGTCTCAGGAGAAGCCTGTGCTGAGACGTGTCCATCTCCCTCTCCTTGTTGTCCCTGAACGCAGCTTCTAGGAGCCATCCGTGGGATTTGCTGGTGCTGCCAGCCGTGTGGGTTGTTTTCTGAGCTGGCTGGGGTTCCAGCTTTTACAGATGTGTTCCAGCAGCAAAATCATCTGTAATTCAAACCAAACACATAACATTGCTCTCCCTGGGCTTGATTGCTTCGAAATGAGCAAAGGGGAAGTGGGCTGGGGGGTTTGCTGCCTTTCCCCTAACCTGTCTGTGCTCTAACTGAAAGCACATGGAAACCTGTTCCTGCTTGAAAAGTTACAGGTCTCAGTTGTATTGAGTCATTTGACCTTTTCCAAATATTTTTCCCCGTTGCAGTTAGAGAAACTTCAGAAGTGATGAATTTCCAGGAATGAGGAGGAGAAGAGTTACCATGTGGAGAGGCTCCCTCACATCATGCTTTGGCTCTGCTCTATGCTTCTCTAGTCATTTTCATCACTTTTTTGATATTCTTTGGATCTAGGGGAAGATTAAAGGGAAGGAGATGCTGTGTCCATGTTGTGTTAGAAGTCTGGACATAATTTAGGGTCTGTGATTGTTTCGCTGAAATCAACCACTTCCAGAACCGATTGCATCTGAGGTTGTAATGTCTGTCGGGTCCATCTCCTGTGAGCTGCTTATGTAAAACAGTCTAGTGTTTGCTCTGCAATCGATTTGGGCTTCTTCTGTGGTCTGTGGCAATCAGAGTTTGCAGCTGTGATCGAGCTGACCTGTAGCTCTTTCTGACCCTGAGTTTTCAGAGAACTGAGTAAGGTGTCTCTTGTCGTTTGGAGTCTGTAAAAGGAGGGGAGAAGTAGGTATAGGAACTCTTCACAGGATGCAATAAATCAGTTTTTTCCTAGCTCTGGTGTGGAAAGAGGAGTGTTGTCTGAAATATAAGAACGTCCAGAGACAGATTTTCCAGGCTGTTTACAATAAACTCACTTGGCACCTCTTGCATGTCTGTGTCAGGAGGTGGGAATGTGATATACCCAACGAGTTGCCAGGTGGCACTGGGTTCATGTGACCTGTATGCAGAGCAGGCTGTACTGCCAGCTCCCATCACCCCATCCTGGTCCCAAGTCCATTTCAGCCAGGGCTGGACATACCTGCCCCAGCCTGGTGCTGTGGGTCTGGTGGGGCACACCCTGGGCCAGGACCCCCCTCCTGCTCTGTGAGCTGCTCAGACCTCCAATGCCCAGCCTGGCTGGAGGGAAACCTGTCTGAAATGCATTAAGACTAAACACTCTTAGGAATTCAAGGCTCTCTGGAAGAGATCCAGGTCCTGTCAGCACATTCAGCTTTGGGGATCTGCCTCTCCTGGGTTTTCTGGTTTGGTTTTTTTTAGTATTTCTTGCAAGCAGGTACCCTGTGCCCACACTTTCAGTGCTCAGGCCTTGCAATTAATCATTGGGTTTAAGTGACTAAAGTTGCAGCTGTAAATATCTTTTTTGCTTGTCCTTTCCCTTCCCTTTGCAAATTTTCCTTAGGCTGTGGTGAAGCTTCTGAGTATAAAACTTCACAGTGCTCTGTGTGAAAAGCATCTCTTGTCCGTGGGTTCCTCACCTTGCTGTTGGAATACAAATTGGGCTTCTGAACAGGCATTTAAGCCAGGTGTAGGCCAGGCAGGTGCTGTATTTCCCCACAGAGAAGTACCAATATATTCCTTGAATACTATTAATCCAGATACTTAAATAGCACAACCACCAGTGAATTCAGTTGCCTCCTAAGCACCTTCAAAAATAGCAGGCACAGAGCAGTAGGGATGTATTCATGGCAACCGTTTTTGTCAAGCAGATGGGTGGCTGCATTTTGTACTGGTTTGAAGCTTTTTAGGGGGTGTGCAGCTTTGTTCCTGTAGAGGTGATATGATAAGCTCATCGGGAGCTCTCTGATCCGTGGATCAGCACAGGCAGGAGCCTGGATGTCCAGTTGAGTACCTAAAGCTCCAGGCTGGTGGAGTACATACATGTACATCTTTGGGTATTATAGAAGAAGAAAACTCAATTAAATTTTCCCCCATTTGTGCTCACAGTGTCAGTTCACTGCTGACTGACAGCCAGATGCTCTTTGCCTCGGTGCTGATTGATTTCTGGCTCGGTGTTGGCAGTGAGTGTTCCCTGTGCACCATGTGAAGGAAGTGGAAAGCCAGGTGTTATCCACAGACTCCTGACACTTCATCCTACATTGTTCTGTTAGCCTGCCAACAGTTTCACTCTGGTATTTCTGGATTTAAAGGAAGGGATTGTACTCTGAAAGGCCCTGTCTGACTCTAGAGGAAAGACTGTTTTGCATGAGTTGAGCAACTTTGAAGGCATTTCCCACCTTTCTCGTTGTCTTCTGAAGGCACCTCAGACTGTGTTTTCTTTGGGACTCTGCTTTTCCAAGCACATGCAGCATTTCAGCTTGGGTTTCTGAGCCTGGCACTCCTGCACCAAGGAACATAGCTTGTCTCCTGCAGCCCAGCAGCTGTTTGCATGCAGGCTGGATCTGGGAAGAGCTGACCCTCTTAGGGTGGTCTGACCTCCAAGTATGTCAGTGCTGCAGCTTGAACCCAGGAAGTCCTTAGCCTTGCAATTTTTAATTGAGTCAGTATGAAAAGCCACTTCCTGCACTGCATATCTGTTTTTTTGGGGGGGTGTAAAGCTGCATCCAGAAAGTCAAAATGCTGATATTTGGGAAGACACCTCACACTGACAACTCCCTGTGGGCTGAGGTCAGTGTTTGTGCAAGTGTGGCTCTGTTATCCTTATGTAGGCACAAAGGACCTGAAGCTAATTGCTTTCTGCACCTGGTGGGATGCAAAGCATCATTATGCCTTAGTGCAATACACAACTTTTTCATTTCTGTAGGACATGAAGAGGGAGAAACATTGCCCAGCTAGCACAGGGCTGGTGATTCAGAAGCCTTTGTGAAGGGAGGTGCAAGTCGTGCCACCTCCAGAGTGCAGCTCTGGGTGGTGAGAGAAATCACCTAATTCACTGTCTTTACATAGTCGTTGTGTCTGATGTTACAGGCTCCTTCATGTAATTAGGTTCACCATGTTTGGCTCTTTCAGACTGGAAAATCGTTAGCTCGTTAATCAGAGACTGAAGGATTGATTCAGCCCAGCGAAGATCTGAATCTTCACTACTGTGTACCTTAAAACAAAGGTTAGGTAACTATATTGTTTCTTCTAGAGTCAGAGTCCCAAAGAGGGAAGAAAATGAGCTGTAGTGAAAGGAGGGGATCGTTGGCTGAGTTCTGCCTCTTGATTCTTGTGGGGTTGCCACAGTTTAATAAAGCAAATAACTTGGTCGTGGCTTTAAAGCATTCTCTCAGTTCTATATTTGAGGATGATGTGTGCTTGACTCTATCCTCTGCTACAGCATGTGGTGTGATTTTAAAAGTACTTTTGTGGCAAATGTGTCTGAGAATGTAGAGCTTCCCCGTGTGTACATAGATTCCTAACACACAGATCAAGTGAGTGAGTTTTGATGCTCCACAGCAGCTTCACACACTAATGCTTCCTTCCCAGCTGAGCCTCAGGAATGGGCTGACGGTGTTAATGGAGCAGGGATTTTAATACAACCTCTAGAAATGATTTGCAATAAAATGTAACCTATTTTG